AGATTTCAACACTAGGAGATCTTAACACAGATTTCAATACAAAGTAGCATTTTCAGCTCTTTCTCCAAGTTCTTTACAGATCTTTTATGTTATTAAAATGTCCCTTTTTTAAGACAACTTTTATTTTTCTATAGAAAATAAATGGGACTTGAAGAACAATCTAACAAAGGTTATTGAAATGAAGATTCTTCAGATAATGTGCTCTCTTTTGGCATCATTTTAGACAGTGGCAACTGAATTGCCCCCTCAATTAATCAACTCAATTAATTATTGAGTTATAACTGGCTACGTCGCAGCATCTTGTGGTCTTGTTACTCTTTGCAGTACAACTATTTGAAAGAATTTAGAGGGGTTATGGCAACAAAATAAACAGTATCAGAACCCTGGGTATTCAGACCTTGTATTAATCCCAACCCAATTTTAAAATACACATTTTTAGGAGCATAGAGAGATTTGTATAAATGGCATTTTACAAAATATAGAATCACTTTGGTTGGAAGAGACCTTTAAGATCATCAAGTCCAACCCTTAAACATGTATCTGAATTTTTAACTTGTGGTCCCCCATTATTTTTGCTTTAAAAAAATAGGGAGACCATGGAATCAAGGACAGGCTTCAGAAGCACTGAAGTTGGAAAACAAAACATAACAGAGGGACACATTTAATACATTCTTAAAGGAAAAAACAACTCAGGGAAGCCCCAACTCACCCCAGTCAGTACACTCTGAGTACTGGCAATATTCCTTTGAGAATGGTCAGTACAGACAGGAGATTCTGGGGCACTTCAGAGAAGTCTGAGGTGTTGAGACTGGACTGAATTCAGATGATTTGCAGTCAAACTGAGCTTGAGGTTTCGGGCCAATGCACATCCAGAACTACTTTGTTACTCCCCCAGCCACCTTTCCTCCTTGTTGCAATACATCCTCCCTTAATTACACGTTATTTTAAAATCATAAATCCCCCCAATATCAACTTCAGAAGCCACTTTCAAACCTGGAGAAGACAGAGTGGAACGTTTTTGGATTGGCAGCACCCCCAACACCCTGGGTAGGATCACCAGCACCTGCTGGAGCACAGAGCCACCCACCTCCAACCCCAGCCCACTGGCTCCACCAGAGTTAACTCAGAGAGACCTGGAATCAGGAGCAGTGCTCAGATGTGAGAAACAGCCTGCTTAGCAAGAGAGAATTCAGCACCAGCTTGTGCTCATCACACACAAAACAGGGGGCACCTTTTTCCCATGGCAAGATGGTTTCTCAGGATGAAATCCAGCTGTTGGGCTATGCTGCACTATCCATTCTCAAGCAAAGGAACCAATTTTTGCCAGCCTGACCTGTTTAGAAAATGATAGTTTAATTTGCCCCACTGTTTACAAACCAAAATTTGACCCAGAACAGCTTTAGCTGCATTCCTTTAAACACAATTTCATCAGACACTTGCTCAGGAATCATCATTGGTCGAGTTGCACATCCCAGGGGATAAATGTTCATCTCTGGGACTAGCAAAAGAACCCGTGCACCTGTTAAATACACCCTGCCAAAATATTTTAAATGATAAATTGGACATCTCGTTGTCTTTCAAGTGGCTTCAGAGTTTTAAAAACACTTTGTTCATCCATTCACAACATGACATGTATTGTCTTTGGGTATTGAGACTGTTGTTATCACCTTTATTGGCTGAATTGTCATGAATCCACAAGTGTCCTAACGAAAAACTCAGAGAACAAGGACAAAAACTCTTCAAAAAAGCACAATGCTTTAGAAACGTTTCTAAAATCCTCTGTTTGAGCCAGAGCTTAGGAACAGAGCTCTGATCTTTAATATTTGAGTCAGAAGAAATGGGCTGAGGAGTGGGAAATTAGCCTCACTCCTATTCCCTCAGGAATGCAGGAACTTCAGAATGTTCTGCAGCGCCGTGGCAGAGTAAACCCCAACACAGCTGGCTGAAAATAATCTACTTTATAAAAGAAAGAGTTCCCACAGCTTGTATCTAGAATAAATTAATAAACTATTAGCACATTTGATATATTTGTACTTAAAGATATATCTATCCTCAAAGAATAAAAAAAAACAGCAAGCAAGGAGACCTGCTGGGTCACTTCTAACTGCTTTCTTATATTGAAGTGGAAAGGGCAGTAGGAGAGGAGGGGGTGAACTAATTACAGACAGGAGTGTAAACTCATTACAGACAAGTAAAGTAAACTTAACCCCACGTAAGAAAGGGACTCAGTGTGTTCTTTCAAGACACTAGGTGACTTCCCTCCCAAGCTTGGTTTTATTAGAACAAAGGAAGTTGTTTTGGCACTTCAGATGCTGCAGGTGATGGGTTTGTGCATACGTGTCGTGTGGATCTTTCCCTTTACTAGCATGACATGGAAGACTTGAAAACAAGGCTCCAAAAGGCTCTGGAAAGAAATGAGAGTTTTCTCTAGGAAATGATAAAGCAGTAACCTTGTTTACTAGAAAATATATGTAGGTGCTTTGCAGCTACCTGCCATTAAAATGCAACTATCTTCAAGCAGTTAAATGATCTGACCCCTAATGCTACTACAGAATAAAGATAAAGAGCTGGCTAGTCTAGGTTTATACATCTCAGTGCATCCTTTGCAATTAATACTTTAATGCACACAAACAAGAAACTTATTATTAAAGCTTATAGAAAAAAATGTTTTGCCTAATGCCTCCTTTCTCATGCAGGGGATGTGAGCTGTACAGGGAACCAAGGTCTGTGAGAATTCCTGGAGAATGCTCCACTGTGCTGTAGCAGAAAACACCAGAGCAGGCAGCTGGTGCCCCCGTGCCCAGCCCCGATCTCACCACGCTTGCTCAGCCCAGATGCTCTCTGGGGGGGCTCTGCCAGCCTTCAGCCTGAGAAATTCGGGTGGGATCGGGTCTGTCACGCCCATTCCTCCCTCTGTCACTCCAATGGATGCAGAGATTTTTATCTTTGCCTTGGTTGAATGGCCTTGTGGTGCTGAAGCTGCCCCTCAGGCAGTGAGGTGCTGAAAAGAAACTAATCATGCACCCACGATCTCTTCCTGCTGCTAGAGATGCAGGTCACTCTGGGGTTGTAGCAGATACGAGGTGAATTCCCTGTCTAGTTGTTAGCATCAAGAAGATCACCAGTGATGGAAAATACCAGTGATCTTTCCTAACTGGACCAGAAAGTAGAAGAAACCACAACACTCAGGAAACTCATTTAGTGCTACGTGCTTTTAAAGCCACCTTTTAGCAGGCTTTGGGGAGAAAATAATCAGAGAGAAAAAGTTAATGATCCTGGGTTTTGAAAACAAGTAGTTTTGCTGTGAACCTGCCTGAAGGAGATGCACGTTCAGCATAGCTCTGGGGACTGGAGGAATCACAGGCAGTGGGGAATGAGGAGTGAAGACATTAGAGGGCTGTACAAAATGGGCCATTATGGTGAGTTTTCCAACCACTCTGGATCTAAGGCTTCACTGATTGTGTAAGACACAAGGTCCAACTGCAGAAATTTAGCTGTTTAAGGAAACTGAAGACTCAGGAGGTGAAAAGAAGTGACTAGGAAGTAAGGCAGCAATATCTCCAAAGACCTATCATCATTCTTTGAATCATAAGTGTCAGCTCTAAGACCTTACTGGGAGCAGACTTTTTTTCTGATTCTCCTTTTTTTATTGCAAGCTAGTTCTGACCACTAGGTTATTTTAAACGTTCCTCATTTAGGGATATTTAACCCCTCTCCCCTCCCTCTGATTTCATTCCCCAAATTGAAACGGATCTTCTGGAGAGTTCTTGTGCGACGCTGGAATTTTCAGACACTCAGAGATGGATTTTGGAAGATGTAACACGCAGGTAGGTACTGGGATGTACTGGAATGTAGGTACTCTACACACTGGGTAAGAAGAGTGTACTGGTTTCCATTTAAAAAGGCAGAATAATAAAAGTGGGAGAAAAAATACGTTATCTACACACTCATGTTCCATTTTGGGACTACTAGCTGTATTCAGGTAAACAACAACAACAAAAAAAAAGCTATTTTCAACCTCTAACCATGCCAACGAGCTTTAGGTTTGTCCATTTCCCCATCTCCCCTCCTCCTCTCACAGCTCATCCATCGCTGACCTCAACCAAAACCTCACTACTGCCTAAACCTAAAGAAATCATTTGGCTGCAACATTCACGCCAGGTCTAAAAAGAATTTCAAACTGGAAAGCATTTTGTAACTGCTGCAATAATTGGTGACCTTTGGCACTCTCAGGAGTTTACATTTGGTTCGACTGAAAACGCTGCTCTGGAAATAAGGAGTTAGAATAAATCCTTTTATTCTAACTCCTATAAATCCTTTTATTCTAACTCCTATAAATCCTTTTATTCTAACTCCTATAGATCCTTTTATTCTAACTTCAAGTGTCAATTGAGCTGCCAGCAAACAACTACTGTAGCTGACTTTCTGCCTTCTGGTGGGTTGTAATTTTCAGCTTTTTCATTTGTTTGGTCTTTTTTTTTTGGGGGGTTTTTGTTTGTTTGTTTGTTTGGTTTGTTTTTCGATTGATTGCAACATGCTCAAGTCGACTTTCCAGTCAATTCACCCAAATTCCAACAGGAATTGGTTTATAAATTGGTTCCAACTGGAACTGGTCATTTGGAATTTCCAGCACAGGAAATTACTTTATAAGTGCCTTGATAAGTACCCTAAATTACAAACGGATGCGTCTAATCTCTAACGACAAGAAAAAGTATGGCTATAAATGCAAATGCTGTACTAAAAAAAAAAAGGATAAATTAATAATCCCTAATAATCCCAAAAACAACCTAAATGATCGACTGGGCACTAACGTCGGGGTGTGGTGACTTTGTTTTTGCCCCCTACTTAACATCAGATGAGAGCAGAGTGCGGCAGCGGCGGAGCCGCGTTAACATCTGCCAAATTAAGATGATTTTCTTTTTAATTTTTGTTTCCTAGCTACATTATGGAGAGTTATCAACTGATGAATCCTATTTTTCCCCCCCCCCAGGTACTTGAACTCAAAGCCTGTGTCGTGACTCGTGGCTGTATCCTCCCGGGGATCCTCGGTTCCTGTGGGGTTTGTAAGCGTCCTGGTACGAGTCAGAGTATTCTTCTTCCACCAGAGGGTAGTGGTCTCGGCTGTGTTGGGAAGTGGAAGACAAGCGGTTCCTGCTCTTCCCAGCCCTTTCATTGTGATAATTTTCCTCTGAGGTCATTAGACTTCGGCGCTCAATTGGAGAGTTCTCTGTAGAGTGGCTGCTGTGCCTCACACGCTGGCTCTACGAGGGCCAAAGAATCCCGGCGTTAATACAAAGAGGACACACGGCACGCTTTTTACCTCCTTTTGAGACTTAATTCTGAGGCCTTTTCAGAATCCATCCACTTTTGTGGCATTCGTTTGACACCACAGCAGCCCGTTGGCCACGGGGCTGGGTTAGCAGGAGGGTCTGGTCCCTAGAGCTGGAAGCAGAGCAAAGGCAGTGTCACGACGTGGCCCTCGCGGCGCTCTCCTGCTCAGCTACAGCACAGGCCCTTCGGCATGAAAAGTGAGCTGATGTAGTCAGCATTTATCACTTTTCTCTGATCATGAACATGAACATTCATGCTTCTCTTCTGCTTACGAAATGTTGAGCATTGATTTAGGTGATTTTTAGAAAACGCCTGAAGATGATGTTTGGGGTTTTGTTTTTTTGTTTAAAAAAAAAAGCTTTATATCACCAAGGAAATGATGGGCTGCTAAGCAGGCAGCTAAGGGGCACCTCAAATGATCAGGTAGGGACAAATTCTTTCAACTAAAACACAATAAATATTTTAAAGATGTTGTCAGGAAGTCCTTTCCTAAGAGAATTATTCATTAAAAGCTTTAGCCTTTGCTACCCTCATATTCCCATAAAGTGCTACACTTGTCACATGAACAGAATCAGTTCCTGCTTTTTGCCAGTGAATGGCACAAAGAAGAAGCAGCCTAAAAACCCAAAGTACTTGGCTTGCTGCCCTCAGCCTTTAAGCCTCTCTTGAGCACAAGCAGCTATACCCTGAGGACACACTCAGTCAGTGCTCTCCTCTCTCAGGGTGACACACACCCAGTGCCATCCTCCAGACCTGGCTCAGGTTCCCCACCGCTGCTCCCCACATCCCCTGGGGCCACCACTCTGCATATTTACTTCATAGAATGGTTTGGGCTGGAAAGGACCTTTTAAAAGTCATCAGATCCAACCCCCCTGCAGAAAGGAGGGACATCTTCAACTACAGCAGGCTGCTCAGAGCTCCATCCAACCTGGCCTTGAAGACTTTGGGATGGAGCATCCACAGCTTCTGTGGGCAGCCTGGGCCAGGGTCTCACCACTTCACAGTGAACAACTTCTTCCTCACATCTAATCTGAGTCTTCCTCTGTTTTAGGCAGGGTTATGACCTGCTCTGGCAGGTGTCCCACACATGGTGTGAGGGGACACAGCTGGAGCACAGCTGTATGCTGTTGCATACACCCTCCCTTTGACCCTGACTCTTCTGCATCTACACCCCTTGACTTCACCCTCGTGACCTTCATGAAGCCCAAAGACTAATCAGAAATTTCAATTCCCAGTAAACTAAATTCCAAGCCACAGGCAAGTGAAAAAAGAGACACCCCAAGGCTGGGCTAGGTGAAGTGGGTACAGACTGTCCCAGCAAATCTGCACCATTCTCTGGGGTGCCTGCTACACAGGGCTCTGGGCATTCAGTCCCCCAAGGTGTGGGGCCAGGAGGAGTCAGGAGGTCACACAAAGTGCAGACTCCTCATACATCACAAGCACCCCAGTGAGCTCAACTCCTGGGACTGGTTGAGTGCTTCCCAGTTCCCACACCACCTCGTTGAGCTCAAACCAATGTGAATCCTTTGGAGGGCCCAAGCTGGTGTGAAAGCTCTTGGGTGGGGAGCACCTCAGATTGCCACAGAAAACACCCAGGCCCTGCCAAGGGGCCTGAGCTCCAGAGGGGCACCAAAAGCCAAATCCTGCAGTCTCCAGCTGGGTGGCATTGGCTCGGGGAGAAAGTGACCCCTCTGCAGAGAACTAGCACCAGTCAAGTCCCACCTAAACCTTCACAGGTCGGGTGAAGTGGGGATTATGTGATGCATACCTTCAGCCAGCCCACTGCACAGGGGTGATTTTCATCTTCAGTGTGAGTTTGCCCTAAGTAAATGGAGCAACATTTCACAGTTACTGCTGGTGTCCATTGATCAGAGAGAAATAAATGCCTGAAAAAAACTTCTGTGGATACACCCGGTGTTGAAAACGAAACTTGAGGAGGTGGAAGGTCTGTGGATGGGATTTTATTGGCATGGAGGGATGGAGAACTGAAATTCTGAGGTGGGTGGAAATGGAAACAACAGTCTACATGTGCACAGGGGAGTCAGAGAACAGTGCTTGTGCGTTCAGCCACTCAGGGAGCAGGGACTTACTGATCCTAACCAAGTCAAGCCCGCCACTAGGAACGTGAGCCTTGAAAACACTGAACAACACACCATTGCCTTCAAAAACTGTTACCTGCTTCCAGACACTCTACAAGCAGAAGAGAGGTTAAATTTGTCAGGTGAGTTATTCGTTAATCACCATTTGCTCAGCGTGACTTCTCCTAGAACGTCACACATCCAGACCTCCTCCTGAAACTCTCAACACTTAAAAAGGTCGCTGCAATCCTGATCTTCTCAAGCATTCATAGCTATCAATCAAAAGCATTTTCTCTTTTCAAACTTAGTAAAAGCACGTACTTCTCATTAAGGGCTATTTACATGCCACGTTTGAAGTTTCAAAGTTCAGCCGATTTTGAGCTATCCCTGTGGAAAAAAATGGTCAGAGTTTTTTTTCAATGGGTAAAAAAAACCCAAACAAACAAAAAAAAGAAATGTATTTTATTCACACTCAAAGAACTGAAAAAGATGAAGGCATTTTGCTGATACAAGAGACAAGCATGGAAGTTTTTCACCCACAAGCAAATGTTTGGTGAAGTGATGAGGGGAGAAATAAAGGGGAGCATTACAGACACTGATCTGAATTCTCAGAGCTCAGCTGTGGTGACACTCTACACGCTCATTCTCAACCTGAAAGATCTCATCTGCAACGCCTTTTTCCCTCCCCCCACTAAAAAAAAAGACAGTTTCTAATATATACATCTTTAATATCCCTTGGCAGTGTTGTTTAACCCCTCCTCAAGAGGCCTCTCCCCCCACGATGGGCCTCAGCTCCCCCCACACCGCTGGCAGCGGCCAGGCAGCGAGTGAAGAGCCACCAAAGCCCACAGGAGTCCTGCTGCAGGAAACACGTGGCACTGTTCTCCCCCAGATGGAAAAAACCCCCACCTGACCTGCACTGGTGCCAGGGCTGAGGGGGTTTCTCATACCTGCAACCCCGAGATGGCAGCAGGGTAGGGGGAAAGTGCCGTGGAGCCCAAATTTCGCCCGAGGAGAGGAGTCATGGGGGTGCTGCTGGTGGTGTGGGTGGCACGCCAGTACGCCTCCAGGTACTCTGCCAAGTGCTCACAAGCATCCTCCAGCTGATTCTCGTCCAAAATGACATCAAACATTTCCTGGGCACAAGGAAACAGAAAGGGATGTTCAGTGGTGGGCAGCACGCCGACCCCGCGAGAGGCAGCCAGGGAGCACCACAGCCTGGGACTTGAGAAGGTGAAAAGCTGAGGGTCTCAGAAGTCACTGTAGCCTTGCAGCAGGGTTCACAAGGTTCTGTGCCTCCCCTGGCACAGCCTGAGGCTGTTTCCTCTTGTCCTGTCCCTTGGGAGCAGAGCCTGACCCCCCCTGGCTCCAGGCTCCTGTCAGGAGCTGGGCAGAGCCAGAAGGTCTCCCCTGAACCTCCTTTGCTCCAGGCTCAGCACCCCCAGCTCCCTCAGCTGCTCCTCCCCACACTTGGCCTCTAGACCCTTCCCCAGCAGCTCCGTTGCCCTTCTCTGCCCATGCTCCATCCCCTTCAGGTCCTTCTGGGAGTGAGGGGCCCAAAACTGACCCCAGGATTTGAGGTGCAGCCTCCCCAGTGCTGAATCCAGGGGGACAATCCCTGCCCTGCTCCTGCTGGCCACACTAACAGATGTTGTTGGCCTTCCTGGCCTACTTGCCTTGGACCTGCTCACCACACAATCCACAGAGAGGATTTTGAAGCCATGTGGCTTCTGTTCTACCCAAGTAGCCAAAGGGTCACTCTGCAGACCATGGTTTCAGATTATCAGCATGACAAGTGCTGATAATGAACCACCAGAAACTGAGTCCCTCGAGAGAAACAGAAACGCATTTTCAGCAGTGAAATTTGGTGCTTCATCTTCAACTTCATCTCACACCTTAGTGGAGAAAGAGAACACTGTGTGAAAACAGCAGAGGGAAGGAGAAGTGTGTGCAGGGGTTGGAGGTGTTCAGAGCAAGGGATGCAAACCACAGGCTGCTACTCCTCCTGTGTGCTGAGAGATCTGCCCACTGCTCACAGAGCTGACAGCTCCAGCCTAAGAGGTTAAACTGCAGGGTGAATGGATCAGAAGTTCTGACCATGCATCTACCTTCTGCCCTGAAGTCTGCTCCAGAACTTATCTTATTGCTAAAGACATTCTTTTGGTTTTATTTTCCTTTTGCTCTCTCTTACCAGCATGTTTGAGAAATGTTCCCTCCTCTGCCAGCTCATATGGAGGGTTTCTTCTATCAACAACACTCCTCATACTACACCTACTGCATCCTCTGCTCAAATTCACTCTTTATACCTGCTTGGTTTGCTCCTCCATTTCTTTATCTATTTTATAATTCATTTTATGAATTATTTTCTCTTCTATACACTTTACACCCTCTTTTGCTATCTAAACATGTTGATACACCCCATATTCCATTCTGTCACATCACTATTGGTGGAAGAAGTCAGTAATTCAAGCACAGTTAGGTTAGGCAATAAAAGACTGTGTTTTGCTTACATTTAATTTCCTTTGGAAAAGATCAAAATTAAAATATTACACTTGGAATATAAGAAGTGATTTCTTAAGTAAGGACTGAATGAGAATTCGTGCTTGGGAGGAAAGAATCTTGTGAGGAGATCCTTGTTTGTAAGTGTTATGGAGTAAAGCAGTTTTTCCCCCATTTCTCCTCATGATGCATTCTAGTCACTGTTATATTTCCTATAAAATAGTGGCCATAGGAGCATTTCCATATCCAAGTGTTCCTGAAGTGATGGACTTCACAGCAGTGGGCTTTCCTGAAGAGAGGCTAAACTAAATGCCACTGTCCTCTGCTGCTTCTTTTGGTTTCCTGGTGCACTGTGAAACACCCCAGGCACACATCAGCAACAGAGAATTCCCCATCCCTGGCTCCAGAGACACACAACACAGAGAATTCCCCATCCCTGGCTCCAGAGACACACAACAGAGAGAATTCCCCATCCCTGGCTCCAGAGACTCACTCCTCACCCACAGGAACGCCCAGGAGGAGAGGGGCTGTCAGAGGGATGGAGCTGCAGACACAGCCCAGAGCTAGGACAGCCAAGGGCCATCCCAAAAGGCATCTTGCTCTAGGTCTAGAGCTCAGGCTTGGGGGGAAAAGATGCCCCAGACAGACCCAGGAGGACAGAGAGGCACCTGAGAAGGAGGAATTTGAACTTGGAGATAGATCTGGGGCGCTGGCCGGATTTAATTACACCAACGCTTTTCAGCTCTGCTGAAACCTATTTTTTAGGTTCTGTCAAAGAGCCCAGAGGGGTGTGTACCCTCTCCAGCCCTGACACAAACCTATAACTCTTTAAAAAAGTTAAAAGCCCACGAGGAGCTGTGTAGGACTGGTGCATTCCGAGCTGCACGGTCAGGACAGCCCGAGGGAGCGCCGCAGGGACCAGCCACCCTGAAAGATCCCCAAGGAATTAATAATGAAAGCAGCTCCTGCACTTAAATATGCCCCCAAAGGCAGCTATTTTTAAAATGTCTAGACATACAGCACCAGCTGGTTACTTAAGGCTGGCAAATGAGAGAAAAAAAAACAGGATTTTATGGTTTTCAGGTCTCTCCTCTTGACACAAAGCCACCAGCTGTGCTGCAAGAGGTGCAGGTGGAACTCAAGAGAACTCAGCTGGCACCCCTGAGGAGTGAGGATGGTACCAGCTTCCACAGACATTACTCTGTGCTACAGAAGAGTGTGCAACTTTGCTTGAGTTTCTGGAAATGGAATGGCTCACAGGGATTCTCTGTCATTCTTTTAAGGGATAATAATTCAGCAGAAAATGACACGGGAGAAACTGGGTGCAGCTGAGCTCTCCAGAAGAACTTGAGATGGTCTGAACATCCTTCAGTGCTGCTCCAAGCAGAGAACAAGGATGAGAGGGTGAACAAAGCCACCTGAAGTTACTGGAACCAGAAGCTGACAAGTCTCTGGGGTAACACAACTGGCTGGATGTAGATCCAGTCACCAGCCTCATGAAGTTCAAGAAAGCCAAATGCAAGATGCTACACATTATTGAGGATGAAAGCCACCTGAAATGGAGGCAATCCTTTTAAGGTCTACATAACACGAGGCAAAGTCTTCTAGAAGCTTCTTCTGACCATTAGGGCTGGTCATTTGTTCTGTTGAGCTCAAATCCCCCATTTGTTCCTGGACTGTTCCAAGACATTTCTTTGCTCAGCACTTTGCTGCTTTTCATGGAAACCTTCCCAGTGCCTATTCTGAACTTCCCAGAACTTATCTGATTCCATCTCACAGTTCTTTGGCCTAAGGCAGGCAAGCAGCAAGCCTTGGGCTGGACTGTCCAGTCAGCCCTGGGGACAGTTGTCTCTTTGCTACCAGAGTGAGGTCACACAACCCCACACCCAGCTTACAAACTCCCTGACTGGGATCAGCACCAGTGTGGCCAGCAGGAGCAGGGCAGGGATCATCCCCCTGCACTCAGCACTGGGGAGGCTGCATCTCAAATCCTGGGGTCAGTTTTGGGCCCCTCACTCTAAAAAAGACCTTGAGGGGCTGGAGCGTGGCCAGAGAAGGGCAAAGGAGCTGCTGGGGAAGGGTCTAGAGGCCAAGTGTGGGGAGGAGCAGCTGAGGGAGCTGGGGGTGCTGAGCCTGGAGCAAAGGAGGCTCAGGGGAGACCTTCTGGCTCTGCACAGCTCCTGACAGGAGCCTGGAGCCAGGGGGGGGTCGGGCTCTGCTCCCAAGGGACAAGGGACAGGACAAGAGGGAACAGCCTCAAGTTGCCCCAGGGGAGGTTGAGGTTGTCCCTGGAGAACAATTTCTTTCCTGGAGAGTTGCCCAGGGCAGTGGTGGAGGCCCCACCCCTGGAGGGGTTTCCAAGCTGTGGAGATGTGGGGTGAGGGACACGGGGCAGTGGGGACCTGGCAGGGATGGGGAACAGTTGGACTCAATGATCTGGAAGGTCTCTTCCAACAAAACCAACCCTACAGTTCAAAGCTGCTTTCCACAGAGTGACTTTCTCTGCCACAGAAACCAGTCGTCGTTTTCAGAAACAAACCCAACATTGAGCTGCCCTGTCCAAAGAGCAGCACAGCTCTTCTGCACAGACCTGCCTGCCCCACCAGCCACCCAGGACCCCTGCTCCTGAAGCAGCAGGGCACTCAAGGAGCCATCAGTACCTTTGATGATGTGGTGGGTGAGCAGTGACTGCTCTGGTGAGGTGACTGGGTTAACATCCTGCAGGCCCTGCTGTGTTAGGGGGTTAGGAGCTGCAGGCACAGCTCACTCCATACCAGGGCTGGACTCACACTGCACAGCTGAGGGCAAGTCCTCTGCAGCCTCCAAAACCTCCTCCCAAACCTGGAGACTTTGGCCCTTTGGGACCTTAAGATAGCACAAATGATGTCACTTGCTAAGGGGCTAGATGAGGTTTACCACACATGTCATTTCTGACCTGCCCCCTTGCCAAAGATCACAATAAACCCAGCACAGGAGATAATCAGGGGGAAAGTTCACAGGAACTCAGCTATAATCCAGGACCAACACAGCAACACGTATCACAAGTCCTTTAGCCTTTCTTCCATACTTACTGGTGGGCATTGTGCAAGTTTATCAGCTGCCACCAGCTGAACGTTCAAGTGTTTACTTTGGGATTTCCCTCTGGATTTAATCAGTCGCTGCAAAACCTGTCAGAAGAAAAGAGGAAAATGTGAGCTGAAGGATCACACCTTCTCCACAAAGCTCAGCCCCACGTCCCCATGGAGGATGACCAAGTTCAGAAGCTCTGTTAAGTTCAACAAGACAGAAAAAAACACTGCCCTTGAATAGAAGCACAGACCTCCTGGATAAGCCCCCTGAGAGCTGTGCACGTGTCCCTCAGCAGCCTGCTGGAGCCCTCAAACAGCTCCCCTGCACTGAGGATGGTGATCTCACTCTGTTGTGCTTGAAGCAACAGGTCAACTGTGACAAAAATCATCTTCTAGAGGACCAGAACTCTGTCTGTACAGAATTATACTGGACTGGTCGTGGCACAGCAGCAGCAGCAGGTTCCCTTGGGGAGCA